GGGGTGGGGTTGGTTTGTTTGCTAGGTGCACGGAATCCATCACTTGCTGTGGTCAGGGGCTGGAGGTGAGAGTGCTTCTTGGCTCAGATCCCAACCGATCGCAGCCACCTGGGAACGGGTGGTCCTTATTCCCGTGGGAGGCGGGATTCTTGTCGGGCAGCTCAATGCATTGAGGACGTACCTGGACGAGATGAGCGTCAGGTACGTGAGGCTTCCTGGGCTCGACCGCGACTCGGAGTCCCCTCCTCTCTTGAATATCAACGCCTTACTGCAGATCGCCCAACCAGTCCTAAAGGCCCTTGCTGCGTCTGTAACACTTGGGACTGGGAATTCGCTGGGCCCAGAAGGACCAAGCGTAGAGATCGGTGCCTCGTTGGGTTCCAGTGTTGGCAAGGTCCTCAAGAACAGCCGAGAGAGAACTCTAGCATTCATCGCCTCCGGGTCAGCTGCTGGCATAGCTTCAGGTTCGCGTCCTATCCACTCTCTACTTTTTATAAACTTAAAATATATATATCTATATATATATATATATAAACAATCTTGTTTTTATTAAAATTATTTATTTTTATTTTTATTTATTTTTATTTTTATTTTTATTTTTATTTTTATTTTTAATTATTATAGATCTCTACGATTTAAATTTTAAATCTCCACCACATTGAGGACAAGAGATCTCTGATTGTGCAAGCTATTCCGGAGCATTGGAAGCTCTTACTGAGCCCAGAAGGAATAGACCCCCCTGGCACTTGGTACATCTCTGAAGATTCTGTGCTCTGGAAACTCACAGGCCATGATGAAGGAGGCACAAGACAATGGCAAGCATGGAATCTGACTTCGGACTCCTTAGCATTGGTATTTAACGAAGATAGATCTGTTGGCCCCTGGTCTAGGCTGCATGTTACAGCAAGTCAGGATTGCTGAGGTATGGGATAAGGAGGAATAGCACACTGTGACATAGAGCGGAAATAGCTTGCCTATCAGCACCTGGAAACTGGATCCGGGAGCTTGGGGCTGGAGAGGATTAGGGCCGGGAGGCTCTATGCTTACCCTAGGAGACTATGTGCCGGCCTTAAAATTAATCGTCCCTAAACGCTCTCCAGTGGGTGTGGTGACCCAGAGATGGGAGACATCTCGTGGGCTCAGACGCAGTGAAGATGGCTGCTAACGTCCATCGGTTATGGCAACAGTTGAAGGAGCTTCCCTCCCAGAAGTATGCTGCGATCCTTTGGTCTCTGTCTTGGCTAGTCGGCCCATCAGCGGTCTGGCTAGCTAGCAAAGGATTGGAGATCAATCTTGCTTGTAGACGCTGTACATGGCCCTTCGAGTCGACATCTCACCTGTGGTGGGATTGCCCGGCCTCTAGAAGGATCTGGAGCTGGTGGTCGGAGCGTTGGAATGGTTTCTCTCAACAGTCATGGGAATGGGACAAGGACTGGGTCCTCATGGGGCTACTACCGGAGGGGATGCAGTTGTCCAGAGGACAAGGGTACGTGGTCCAGGTCTGTCGCTCGGGCATCATCTCGGTTATCTGGGAACACCGGAACCGCTCAGTTTTTCATAACAGGGGAATGTCGGACGTGGAAACAAAGTCCCTCATCAAGTCGAGGCTCAGAAGACAGAAACAGGCGGGTTGGTATCGCAAAGGGTGTGGAGGGCAATGCGTGGGCAGAAATTTCAGATGGTTTGCAGAAACGTGGTGCGAAGGCAAGTCTTGGCTTGCAAAGGTAGACGGAAGTGGGAAGTTAGAGATGTGCTCTTGGCTTAAGGATGATAGGAGGCAAGAACCTGGTACTTGGTTCTCACAGTCGCAGTAGGCTGGCAGCATCGGTGGTTTTGGACAGCGGACAGAGTGCTGGTTGGGTTGGGAGGTGCTCCAGGGGCCATTTAGACCCCGTTTTGGCGGAGCGGAAAAAATTGTAGTTGCTCAATGGTAGGCAGAAGAGCAGAGAGCTCAATTGAATCAGATAAGCTGAGTACAGAGTCTTCTCTCTGGATCAGATAAACTGAAGCTGGGCACTAGCCTGGTGACTGGTTACCTCCGGGTTGTTTGTGAGGAATTGCAATTTTTTTTGGTAATGGAATAATTCACGCTAAAAAAACTCTCTCTACCATGACTGTATGTTATGCTGTTGTCTTTTTCTTCCTCTCTTTTTTTGGTCATTATAGCTGTATTTGGGGCACCTTTCAGTCTAGATACAGCAATAATGATCGTACATTGTATTCGGGTGAACACTGTAGCAGTAGTGGGTATGCACTATGTAGTGGTTTTTTGTTTTTTTTTCATTCCAAATGAGACCACGGGGGCCCGGGAACACACCCCTTCATATCAACCCGGTACAAACTTGCTGAGGCCATTACTCAGCTTAGGCTCCTGGAAACTGGGTCCAGTGTCCCTTAGGGGGAATCTCCAAAAGGAAAAATTGCAAAGCAAATCTGTGACAGTACAGTATCCTTGCTACTCAGGGAGACACCGGCATGTTTCTAAAATCGAAACACTATTGGCAAAGAACTCTGAACTATAAACCACAAATCTCGAGAACGAACGAGGAAATTCACGAAAATTTACAAATCAACCCTAAAATTATTTCTTAGATACAAATCAACTCTAAAATTGCATCCAAGTGCATGCTAAATTCATAGATACTGACGAGATATTGGAGCTGGGTGCATTAATATTGTCGACAGAAGATGGATGATTGAAAACAGCCAAGAGAACGGCCACGTATAGAGAGTCCAAAGGAATTCAAAGAGAGGAAGAGGTGGATAAACGCGACCACAGAATATACAAGTGGGGAAGATATGAGCCGGATTTTCCAGGATGGCACAAAGTCGAGCGTTGGACACTCCCCCCACCACTCAAGGCATGGGTGACCCTGTGTCACTGCTCCAGCTCTAGAAGAACAGCCACTCTTAGAAAGTGAACGTCACTGTGTCTCTATACGCGGTTATGGCTGGGAAATGTTTTACCCTCTGCGCCCGGGAAACGTTCCCGCTGCCACTAGTGAGTCTCCCACTCCCGCTGATGGCGCCGCCGCCCATAGGACTTCAGGGCTTTACGTACCCAGCTGAGGTCTCGTCCCTTCATCGTGTTGGTTTCCCAGGATGACCACAGGTCGAGTGTAGAACACTACCAATGCCACTCAAGGCATGGGTGACCCTGCATCTTTGTTTCCTGCGCTTGAAGAGCAACCACTTTTAGAAAATAAACTTCAGTGTGTCCCGGTAGGCAGAATGTCAAGCCCTTCCTAATATTAACTGAATGTACCTGGCTGGGTGGTTGACTATCTGCATAGTACTTGGCTCTCACTCGAAATATGTCGGGTCTAGAAGCAACCTTATATGTAACCATTGGCAGGCACTGTGGCCAAAGAGAATCAACTTAAGTGAGAAAAAGGAGGGATCACGAACAAAACATGAGATAAATGCATAAAGGATGTAAAGAAGCCGATCTGGCAGTTACATGCGAATACCTCAGCACTCTGGGACAGTTGTGACGCCCAACCTCACGCCCGGCGCGACTTCGTGATCGGAGTGTGAGTGGGCCTGGAAGTGCGAAAAGGGGTGTGCCGAGGATTTTTGGGAAAATGGGGGTGGAGTCTCAGGTCAGAACTGAGATCTCCTGTGGCAAGTTCCACACATAGGAATGCAAGAGGATAGGCGCGGGTCACCACCTCTGCTGGTTCCGTTGTCTGGGTCGGACTCGTATTTGGTGCACGGTCGGGACGCTATGGCTATCGCGCTGTCCGACCACTTGTCGGCGTCAACCTCACGCCCGGAGTGTGAGTGAGGCTGGAAGTGCAAAAAGGGGTGTGCCAAGGATTTTTGGGAAAATGGGGGTGGAGTCTCAGGTCAGAACCGAGATCTCCTGTGGCAAGTTTCAGAGTGGCAGCTAAGGAAGTTGTCAAGGGAGGAAGACGCTTCCTGTCCGTCAGAAAACAGTCAGTTCGGTGCTGGGGCAGCTTGTGTTGCCTTGTAACCCTAGCAAGGGGGGTGTGAGGACTGGCGACTTCTGGTACGAGGACTGAAAGCTTGAGTGACGGTTTCTCGCTTGTAGTGTGGGTTTGGTTTGGATTGATGGTGGTTTCAACTCTGATTTTCATTTCTCTAATTTTCTTTTTTTTAATTTTTTGAAATTTTCTTGAATTTCTTAGAAAAGGGGCGAGTGGGATAGGTAGATGGTTGGATATCGAGCGTCCTATTAGTGAGGGGGTTAGCTCGTAGGATGGAAATAGGGTACATCAGCAGTGGAGATGGTGGCTCCGCTGCAGTAAGTCTTGTCGGAGGGAGGTAAAGAGGATTGAAGGGGGGGTTCTGAGTTGTTTTCTGAATTTTGCCTAATCCTGTAAAAAAACGGTAATGACACAAGAAGAGAATAAGGAGAGTGGGAGAAGATGGTGGGTTATCACGCGTCCTACCAATGAGGGGCTAGCTGGTAGGATGGGAGTATGGTATAGCAGCAGCAGAGATGGTGGCTCCGCTGCAATCAGTCTTGCCGGAGGGAGGTAAAGTGGATTGATGGGGGTTCTTCTGAGTCGTTTCTGAATCATGAAGTTGTCATAGGCATGTCTGAAGTAGCTCTAATTCGCTGAGTCAAAGCCGGGTGATGGCCCCGGTATCTCAATTTTCAATTTCCATTCTTAGGCCAATTGGATTTTTCTAGTAGGTTTCTAGCCTCATTTTCATGAAATTTTCTGACGAGTTTTCTGAATGTACTCGTTATGGGACGCTGGGCCTGGTTCCCAGTTCGTGCCAATTTGTGAGGATATGGTTGTATCTATGGGACGTTGGACCCGGTTTCCAGCAGGTGTTGCTCCCCACCAATAGATGGAGCTTTGGTTAAAAAAAAAAAAAAAAAGTTTCAGAGATAGGAATGCAAGAGGATAGGCGCGGGTCAAAGTCTGTTTTTATGCTTCTGAGCGTGGGGCCACCACCTCTGCTGGTTTCGTCGTATGGGCCGGACTCGTATTTGGTGCATGGTCGGGACGCTATGGCTATCGCGCTGTCTGACCACTTGTCAGCGACGTACGTCACTGGCCTCAGAATCCGACGCGCCTGGCCTTAGCCTAAGGCTGTGCGCCCGTCGTTCTTCCTCCGAACGAGTTCGTCGGATGAAACTGGAGGCTCGATACTCTATCTTGCAAGCACTCCGAGCACGGGGGTTGGGGCCAATACGGAGCGATTGCGCGCAGGGGGATGATGGTCAGCGAATGGAAGGGTAGTATGCAGTGGTAGGGAGGGAAGTCGGTTTGGGCTGGTTGGGATTTTGCTGATTGGAGTTCATATTGATCGCCTGTCGAGCGGCCGACCTACTTCAGGTTACTATAGGGTCGCGTCGTGGCATGTTCCGCCGCCTAGGTCGTCCTCTATTAGCCAGATCGTTCTACGCTAACTACCTTCTTGCTAATCCTGTGGGCTTGCCACGTATCGCTCCGGTACCAACCTCACGCCCAGCGCGACTTCCTGTTCGGAGTAGGATGGGGGCCAGAAAGTGCGAAAAGGGTTGTACCAAGGATTTTAGGAAAGTGGGGGTGGAGTCCCAGGTCGGAACTGAGATCTCCTGTGGCAAGTTTCGGGGGTAAAAGCGCAAGAGGGTATGTTCAGGTCGTACTTGGCGCTTTTACTTTTATAAGAAGGAAGGTAGGCCACCTCTCGTGGTTTGTGCACATAGGAAAAGCCGCAGATGTCGTGCAGCATAAGGTAGATGGCATGTGCGGTGCATCCAGGACTAAAGATCCCGGGGTACTCTTCCACAATCACAGCACCGACAGATCTAAACACTCTTGCATTCTCGAACAAAATCCCAACAACAGTGCCCCTGCCAACGAACTCGATTTTCGTCAGCTCAAAAACCCGAAAATGGAAATCACCATCGCCTCTGGTTTCACCTTCACGGTTGGTCGCGATTCGACCAATTGTCGGTGCCGCTAGTAACAGGCTTCGGAATTCGACGGGGCGGGCCGTAAATGGAGGCTGTGCAATCGCTGCTAAGCTTCGGTCCGAGTTTGTCGGATAGATCCCGAAGCTCGACGTGTCTGATACTGCTGGCAATCCTCGCACGGTGGGCTGGGCCAATAGCAAGCTACAGTACCACTGTGAGTTGGTGGTATGGAAGGAGGAGATGGAAGGGAGGGAAGTCGGTAATAATAACGACGAAGCTCGGGGATATGTACTATTGAGTATTTTCCGTATCTGGGTAGTCTGGGCCCCTAGGGTCGCTGGTTATAACCCAGTGGAAATCCCCTCTGCACAGTCGGTCGTTCTCTGTCAGACAGGGGAATTCCGGGTTCCTCAAGTTTCCCCGTCGTCTGAGTTGTTCGCCTTCCTAGTATTCACGATATTTCGGGTCCCTCAGGCTCTCACGATCGGATATCCAAGAGGGAAATCCCGCAGCCATATCCGTTTAGCAAGCTCGGTCCCTGCATCCTTATACGGGGCTAATGTTGACTTGCGCAGACGAGCGTGTACATGCAACTCGACTTTCTCGAGATCGCGGTCGTACGCAAGCGCGCACGTGAGAAACAGCGGATTGGTTCAGCGTACCGATCGCGTTCGGCATACATGCAAATACCCTACTCATGCTATGTTGGGTGAGATCCGCTCATTACATGCCATACACGTGACGAACAGGAGGAAAGAGGGGAAGGGACAATCAACTTCTTGGTGATTGAAAGTTAACGATTAAACCGAAACATCCATAACGAGCGCTCTCAATCAGATATGAGCGTATAGCTCACACAAGTGAATAGTAGATAGAGACGAAGCAGGCATCGCAAAACAAGATTGGAAATCCGGAAAGATCACTAATTGAAAGGGAATTCACATTCATTCCATGCATACATACGGAGTAAAAACGACAAGGAAAATCCGAGACGATCTACAAAGAGAAGTTCAAGAAAGTTGCGATAAAATCGACCATATCAGGATCCAAAATTATACAGATAAACAAGGAAAGAACCTCATCCCACGCCCACAACTGCTCTCTCTCTCTCTCTCTCTCTCTCTCTCTCTCTCTCTCCCTCTCTCTCTCTCTCTCTCTCTCTCTCT